AACTAAAATTATGCATTCTCACTGGTATTAAACAATTAAAAGTTAAATGAAATATCCACGTATTGCTACTCGTTAACGTTTAATTATGATTCCTTCCATTTAAGTAAATAGTTTAATCCTGCATAGAATAATGGCGCATTTAATGACAATCGCGCTGTGCCGCTGCATACGTAAATAATATGAAAGCTTAAATACAAATACAATTATGAGAGTGTGAATTCAATGAACTCGCTTGTTTTCCTCCATTTAAGTATTTTTTTTATATAAATTTATTTTTCCCAGTCTATTGGCGTTGTGGGTTTTCGTCTTTGTTGCCACTTATACAAACACTCTTACGCCTGCCTCATGTATGTATATGGTCTACTAGAAACGGATTCATATGAACTTCGATTGCCAGAGGCTGCATAAATAATGCAAATGGTTACAACGTACTCGTTTGTTTTACTCGTACACGATAACATCCCCATTAGCACAAATACAAAGCCGCCGGCACACACACACGCACGCACTCAGTAGTATACATGGTAACCATACGGCATATATAATATCATACTTGTACATGTTAGGGCATGTAGGGTAGTAAGGACGCCATCTAGCAATTTATGACTATGCTTGCTAGCAGGTAAGACTACATTATGTAGTTATGTACGGTCCTGCAAAGAGCATTCGAATGTAAGTGAAGCTATCGCTGCTGTTCCGTACTGCCGCTGCGGTGAGTAGTGCATCTATTGCTATAACTGCGGCTCTGCGGCTGTGCTCGTAGCTATGATATGACAAATACTCGTTATTTGCTTTTAGATACATTTTAGATTTCATTTCCAATACAGGTTCGTTTTTCGATAACGACACAATGTGATTCGAATTTATTTATTCATCGTTGATTGTGATTTTCATAGGACACAATCAGGATTATTGTCTTACGGCAGATTGTAAGAAAATGAACATTTTTGTTGAATTGTTATTCAGAATAATCGCATCTTTTTTTTTACCTGTTTGCGGTAGTAGAGCCGAAGAAACACAGTTGCCTAAAATCTCATTTGAATTAGCTTAAAGAGATGTCGTGGCTTTATAAACTCTTATGCGAGTATATAACCGTATCTAAATAAATATGTATCTTAAAAATACTTTAGTAAAAAGAAAGAACAAAATAAAAAAAACGGCAGACATTCCACGAAGAATTAAAGGACATTGCTTGTTAAAGTACATTTCAAAAAACGGTCACTGCACATCAACTATTATTATATACTATAATAATAGTTGAAACCGGCTTTATAAAGTATTTATTTGTTGTGACACTATCCTTTTTTACTGAAATGAACTACAACATCCAATATAACTGAAACAAGATATCGTGAATCTGTCATATTATTATTGATTTAATATTAAATAGCTATTAGTCGTAGATAAATAACATATGAGAGTGCTAGCCGTTCTAAGAAACTGAGGGCCGTGTTGTGTAAAAAGTCATAGGCTAGTCAAAATAGACTCGTTTCCACTAGAACATTATCGTTGGCATATTATACAGACTATCACAGAAATTGTAATAATGTGATCCTAAAAGTCAAAAATGTTAACAATTATTACTGAACCACACTGCTTTGATAGAGATAGCCTCGGCTCTCATGAGCAAGTTGAAATCGACATTTTGTTTTTTCTCACACTCTCAATTTTATAATTTGTATTGGAAACAACAACAATTTCGATTTTGACGAGCCAATGAGTTTTTGCACAACATGACCTTAAGGAAACCACGTTGTCGCTTTGATAAAGCACGCAATGTTTTTAGTCCCTATTCTAGTGATATCAAATAGATATATGACTAAGTACGAGCCTAGCGAAGATATCCATTTTCTGTCAAGTGGAAGAAGTGAGAAAATTTTCCTCATTTTTTTTTTGCCCCATAGATACAACTACAATGAGTAAAGAACTTTCTCCTCATTTTATTTGTCCAAAGAGCTAAATCAATATTCATTGGAAAGAACTCGTTATCGGTCGACATGTCTACCGTCAGTAAGGCTATTATATCGAATATCGAATGATGAGTAAAACTAATTAATTGTTGGGTTGCGTATCAAGTCATAAAATCACTCATTGTGACATTTTTTAGTTCGTCAGTACTGACATTTAAGAGGATTTCGATATCAGATCAAATTAATGCAAGTAAATCACTGAATGTAGTCACATAACGTTCTAAAATATATGTTCTTTTGATACAAAATTTTACAGTTTTAACTCCAATTCCTCAAAGAGCATAGGGATTACACATTTTACTAAAAAGAAACTGTGTTGACACAATGCATATTACGTTTGCTTAAAGTCGATCAACAGCAAAAACTCATTGATGGTTCTAAACATTTTTAAGATATAATAATGCATAATGAAAGGAATTTCTAAACGCGATATATCACTAGCCATATCACTATCACTAGCCAGATGATCACTAGCCAGATGATCACTAGCCGAAGTGATCAAAAACCCAGGAATCAGTTGAAATCAAGAATTGGTTTTTTAATTAAATTTTTAAACTATCAAGAACTTACATTAAATAGTATTTCCAATGTGTTTCATGATTACAAGAACTTGTTCTGAAGAGAGTACAAGAAAGTGTATTTTTGTTAATAATGTTATATGTAAAATTTCGATAGTAGCTATGCTAAAATAATAGGAATACATTTAAAAATGCTTCATCGCCCGGCATATTCTTTAGATTTAACCTGAAGCAATACTAGTCATTCGCACACCTTAAAAGGATGCTTTGAATAAGGAAAAATATATTGAAAATCTTAAATACATATATATAAGTAAATCGTTATAGTGCTGAAATAGGATTAATCTTTTCCTATATAATTTGTTTTTATCAGTCAGCCAATAAACTATTAAAACAGTCTCTCGTACACAGTTTGATGAAGTGATGCATAAGATTTCATCAGTACCAACCATAGAATATAATATCGCTAATAGAGTATTCATAATTTTCTACACTACATTATTGCTATATCGGTAAACAAAATTTAGTGTGATTATTATGTGAAAAGTATAAATCATTTATTATAATAATAAGTTGTTATTATAGTTTAAAATACATGTTTTCTTGAACTTGTGTGTATTATATTGTATACATATTCTATTGATTTAAACTATCTTTAAGAAAAAAGGAAATAGTTTAAAATTAACCTAGTCCAATATATAATACAATGAGATTGTGTCTTTGCCTCAAAAAACTTTTCTTTGTTATCGTAAATACCATTTAAAAGTTATAAAAGTAAGAAAGTAGGCCATGGGAAGTTTGATTTACGTTGTGGAACTCAATTGAGTTTTCTTCAACATTTTAAGTTAAGTTCAGAGTAGTATTTATGCTACACACAAAATCTTTTTCGCTATATGAGAACCTTCACCGGCATCAGTTTTCAAAAATTACGTTGTAGTTTAATAGTAGTACTTTAATCTATTAATTAATTAATATATTATATAGTTAGAACTATCTTCATAGTTATTTGCTTATCATTTATAAGACTTTAATACAATTAAGTTTTTCTTCAAACCTTTAAATATCTTATCAACGCAATGAAAAACATAATATTTCGTTCTAGAGATATATGTACTCTCCATTTTTAAAATATCTTTAAATAAAACTTACTTATGCTATAATACTTGTATACCTAAATACGATTTAAGCTAAAGCTAAAGCTAACTATTAAAGTAAGAAAGCACCGCAAACTTCCTGAAATCCTTGCGTTTATAAAAAAGTTTATTTTCTATTTCATATCTGAGATTTTTCCACAACGCTTACTTTACCAACCCAATATTCCCTTGAAATGATAAAGCGATTTGCATATCTGCGTTCTGATTTGTATAAGCACAGTAAATCTAAGTTGAAATCGCTTTGCACTACTTCAGCTGAGATAATCCACACACAGAACATACTGCTTAAGTTTTTGTGCTCGTATTTATCTTTAGTGGAAGCAGTCACTCTACATTTGTGTCAAACGGAAAAAAGTCAATGTGAAAGCGTAAAAATTATGGAATATGAAAATTATACCTTTCTCTGGTTAAGCGATTGATTATTAAAAGTCGTAGCAACTATTCCAGAATACAGCTCCATGCTATCATCGCCACTTCAAGAACATGAATTCACACTACGGAAGATGGAACAAAGTTTTTGCAAAACGTTTTTATTTCCTATACCAACAAAGGACGTAGCACAGTTCGCTTAATCGAATGTATAAAAACGAGTGAGGCTGTATTTAAGACGGTTACATTAAGTGATGGACGGAAAAAGAGGTAGGAATAAAGGTAGGCAGACAAGCAGACAAGCAGACATATAATAAAATCCGACTACATTGGAACGAACATTTGTTTGTGTTAAATGAAATCGAATTATGGTTAGCGACATATAGAGTCTACTTCTTATCTGTTCATCTTGGCAAAACTCTACTCAACTCAATAGAACATAATTGCCTCAAAGCAACACTTGTGAAAGGAGATGTAGGTAGGTATGTGGCTAAAGTACGCTTGAGATTTCTGCATTCTATATTATGTGTACGAAAAAGAAACTTCCACCCTCCTCTTCTGTTTGCTTTTTATTGCTGTTGTCACTATAACTTGTTACCTTTGTTAACTTAACTGTTGGTTTGCGTCGCGAGATACGCTAGAAGTATCTACCATAGACGTTGCAGTTGTGTGCCTGTCTACATGCTGATATGTTTGTTAAACAATTTTCACACCAAAGTCTAATTCATACTTTAATGATTTCATTTTTGTACTGTACAAATAAAAAAGAGAACAAATTAAATTTTCTTGAATTTTCTTGAATTTTCTAAAATTTCACAAAAATAATCTTTGCTTAATACTTCGAAATATCATAGATGATTATTTCGGTGCGTATATTTCAACTTTTTATTTTTATTTGATGTAAATTTTCTTATTGATTTAATATTAAAATTATTCCCTTATATCTTTTCATGTATAACCTTTACTACTTATCGACATACACACGCAAGGTTATAAGATGTCTCGTCCTGTGTGCAGGAGTCGCGTTACTGGAACCGATGTTGAAGATTCCTTGTGTAATCCACTTAGCCAGCCGGAGCCATCTGTAGTATTTTGCAACACACATACATGTCCGCCAAGGTAAGTTTCAGCCTATGATAAGTACTTCTTGGGTTTTGTTTTTTATTTTTACATTTTTCTTGAAAAGAAAAATTTAGTAAAAAATATGCTCATATTTGCATATTGTCTTGGTATCGATTTTTGCGGTCTGCATACGAAAATATCTTCGTAGATTAAAGAAATTCCTCTTGTGTAAGGAAATAAAAGTACATAAGATAAAGTATTAAAAGAGTTTTACTTGTCTTTTATTGTCAAAAAAAAAGAATGTTTAAGAGAGCACAAAATAAATAATCCTTACAACATTTTACGGTTAGGTGATTCAATGAACGATACCTTAAACGTAATCAATTGGATTACCAAGAAGATTACTTTTCATCATGACTGGATCAGACTATAGTTTCTTAAAGCAAATTATTTGATCGACTTATCGCTAAGATAATTTAATTTTAGCTAAACCATAATTTATTATACGATTAAAGCTTAGTTTTAGTTCACCAGTTAATTTTTAATGTAAGCTAAAATATCTCATCACTACATAAGCAATAATTTAATAATTTAATTTAATTTAATGAGACTAATACGAACAATAAGATAGCATACAGCCTTAAATAAGCATGATGTTTTATATATTGTAAGGTTGCCGACTCTATATGTTTCATCACAGGTCTGATTTCTCAATCTGGTCTAGAAGGCTGAACCATTTCTCTGTTATTGACCAACATTTGCAAAATTAGAATTTAATTTAATTTTTTTGCTTAACTGGATAATGACCAACATGGATTATTGGACTATTTTGACTGTACTTGAGAAGTTTGATTTCTCTTAATTTTCCTTATTAAACTCTTAAGTTCTGTGTCGCTTAGCCGTATTGGTCTTCTAGCTTCCAACACTTTTTCCAGCAAATAGTCCTATGCATATTTATCACTGCAAAAATGCAATCATTCTTAGTTCCAATTTTATTAATTTCGTCTAAAGATTCATCTTTCTCTTTTTTAAGTTTTGCATTAGTCTTCAGTTTTGATGATCTGAAGACTAAGATCGAATGAGCTTATGAGTACAACTTTCCAAATGGAGAATTTAGAGAATTCACGAAATAGACAATGATATATAACTATAACAAATACGTGTCCTTCAACTTCAATTTGCGGTAATTTAAAGCAATTTCTACTTCAATTAATTATGTCCCTGAATAGAAAACCCATTTGGGCAATTGTTCTTTAAATTAAAGAAAAATTTAATTAGTATTTTTTGAATTTTTGTTTTTAAAGTGAATATAAAATATGCTTAATATCAAAAATAAAAGTTATTACAATAAAAACTTTATACTTCAATAAGTGTTTAGATAACTTTTTGCTGTGGGTTCCTGTCTGCTATGTCCCTGTCTTTAATTTATTGATAATGAACTTTTTTCAGGTAGATATTGTCCTATTTAAGACATTTCGATCAAAATATATTAATGCATAAAACCAAAGAAAGTCATTAATTAGTCAAAATTTATTTTTCTCCATTTAAAAGTGCGCCCTAAGGCATGCAATGCAGAATACGTCTATTTGTCGCATTATTCTCAATATATTTTTTATATAGTCTGGTTGCGATATATCGGATGAATTCGATTAAAAAAAAGTTAAAATTTTCGCTTCGGAAACAAAAAAATTACTACACGGTATTATGTTAAATGAGAACAGTGCTTCTCGCGTTATATCCATTTTTTAGTCCCTGAGAATAATGATAATGAACTTTTTTCAGGTAGATATTGTCCTATTTAAGACATTTCGATCAAAATATATTAATGCATAAAACCAAAGAAAGTCATTAATTAGTCAAAATTTATTTTTCTCCATTTAAAAGTGCGCCCTAACGCATGCAATGCAGAATACGTCTATTTGTCGCATTATTCTCAATATATTTTTTATATAGTCTGGTTGCGATATATCGGATGAATTCGATTAAAAAAAAGTTAAAATTTTCGCTTCGGAAACAAAAAAATTACTACACGGTATTATGTTAAATGAGAACAGTGCTTCTCGCGTTATATCCATTTTTTAGTCCCTGAGAATAATGCAAATAACGCTCTTTTGACAAAAACTCTAAGGTAGGTTTAATAATATCAAACTTTCGTATGGAAACGTCAGATCACACCTTACAATAATTAGTAATGTCAAGGCTCAAAATATAAATAGTGACCCTCGTATTTGATACTCGAACAAGAGGGGTTGATGAAAATTTATTATATCGAAACTACTTCAGTGATGAGGAATATTTTTTACTAAGAGGACATATCCACATAAATCCACTAATAACAGTCGGAGTCCTATTGCAACCACAAAGAATGAGTATATGCTATAGAAAAAAATCCCAGACCACCACCCCAGATTTAAAACTTAAGAAGTTATGACACAAACTATTCCGGTTTGTGTCATAACTAATCCGGTTGTTACACTCAGAAAAATAATTTGATTGATTTAACCATATATTAACTAGATCTCAGGTCCGAATATACTTACTCGGCTCGACTTATGTTGGTTCAATTATATAGCATGTTGGTTTTCATATCTTTTTACTACATGAACTAAGATATCTCTAATAAAATAATCAGAGCAATATAACTAGTATGTGTAGAGTGTAGTGTAGAGTGTAGAGCTACAAGATAACCAATTTTGTTTTCTGAAGTGTGATTCTAAGATATTTTTTATTAAGATATATGCTTTCAACATAATGATGTAACAATTCACACAATATGCCCTGTTTTGGTTTCGTTGCGCTAGAAATATTACAGACTCGTGATTTCATGTTTTATTGTTGTAAATGGGTCAAGAAGATCATGTGATCTGTCACCGCTTGATTTTTTTTTTAATTTTAGCATAGGATCATATATATACAAAGAATTCTTATATATCAGCTAGGTAATTAACTGGTTTGTGCTAGTTATCTAGCTACAAATCTTCAAAATTGTAGCTAAAAGACCCAGTACTAAACGATATATTGATGTAATAATTTGATCAAAATCTGAATAGCAGATGTGTTTAACCCTGTATATATAAAAATAACAGATTAATTAAAGGGAAATACTTAAACCTAATACACTTAAATGTTTATACCTGTAATTCCCTTTTGATTGGTTTATCTATTTTATCTGCATCTAAATAAGAATACTTTCAGTCGCAACTCTAGTAGTCACATTTTGTGGTGAATAAGAAACAATATTTTAGAGGACTGGAATTAAATTTCACAATTCCACAAGTCCTTCTCGTAATTTGTTTGTTTATTTTTGAAACTAAAAAATGAATATCTTCTGTACTTGTGCAGATATGAATTTTTTATCCTCGTCCAAGTTCATATTCCTATTGCACGTTACTTAATTTGAGTTAACTTAATTTGACTGCCTACCTTTGTAGCATCGACTCCGTATGCCAACGAATGTAACTTCTGCCGGTTTACTGATTGGATGTACCCAATTTGCATACCTCACAGTTTTGTCGTATTGTGCATCTAATTTTCTTTATTTCTATTCTGCTTCAGGTGGATTGCTGATGAGTGGAGCGCGTGTAGTCGTCTTTGCGGCCCCGGCTATCGTGAGCGCATAGTCGTCTGTGCTGAAGAAAATAATGGCATGAAAACAAGGGTGAGTAATTTGGCTTATGAAGTATGTACGAGTTAATTTTCCGTATATGAATACTCGTGCGCTGTCTCAAGTTGAGGCACACTTTAATATTTAAATTTTAATGTTTAATAATACGACAACGTACAGCGAGCAAATCTACTTGTAGTACCAAAATGCTTTGGGCAAACTAACAGAAAGATTTTGCTGTAAATTTTAGCTGCTCTTATTTTTATTTTTTGTTTTTTTTTTTGTTTTTTGTACTCCGTTGCTAACAAGCACATCTTCATTGTAGGTAATTGCTGTTTAACGCCACTAAAAATTCTTGCTAATATCATGAAATTACAGCATTCTCAGCACCCTGAGTAAATCGCTGTTACTAAAGTAAATGTTGCTTTCCCTGCTTCACTTTAATTTGATTTTATTTTCTGCATTGCAGGTTTCGGATGTCATGTGTAAAACAGCAAAGCCGCCAGCACAGGAACAATGCATAGTTCAGGAGTGTCCAAAATGGGAAGCGGAAGAGTGGAGTGGGGTAAGTGTGCAACTTAAATATTTAATATAAGCACGACTATGGTCAAACTGTTAAAGGTGTTAAAATTCCACTAGGTCAACTTTGTAGAAATCCTTTAAAGTGGGATTTGGTAGCAAAAGTAATTTGTTACAGAAATTGCCATAAAAATGGAGAGCAATGGAAAGGAACATGAATTGTTTGCACTTTTAGTGCAACTGCAGGACAAGAAAAAAGGAGAATTCAAAATTGCATTAGAATAAATTTAAGAAATAAAAATTAAAAATCAATTATTTAAGTTAATGTGTTTTTTTAAAGCTTAGAGAAATATTGTCAGATGAAGTGAGTTTACTTAAAAGAGTTTATTGACGATAAAACCATTGACTAGCAAATATTAAAAATAAATCAGTTATAAAAATGGGTTCGAACTTTGTTTCTTTCATTAAAAAAAAATCGCTCTAAGAGAAACACTCTAGTCCAACTAAGGGGCACAATAGATCTTTTAGGTCGCAGTGCATTACCCCTTTTTAACAATATTAATAATGAATTATATAAAATGTTTCAATAGAAGAACTATATCCTAAGACTTAAAAACCAAAGTCTTTAAGTTATATACAAGTATATTGGATGTTGTTAAAAATTGTAGAATGTATATATTCAAATTATTATTTACTAGAAGATTCAATGATTTTATATGAGCTTGATGATAATTATGTTTATCATAACTATGATGACACTTCTTCTTTGTCTGTTTAAAACAACATATCTGGTTGCGCTATATGCCAGTATAGTCTAGTTTTCTAAATATCGGTATTTAACGTTAACATTTTTTTCATAAAAACCTTTGCCAAATACTAGACGCTCTGTCTATTGTTATATTTGTTATTACTCTATTGAGACTTTTATCTCAGTAAATTCACCTCTTAGGAATGGTTGTGGAAGATCACAGCATACAGTGGATGCCAATCCCATTCCCATTCAAGGGAGCTTAGTATTTGTAATCACAACTTTAAGCTAGGAGTAAGGACGCATAAGCGTTAATTGTATGGGATGAATGATATCTACCTAGAGAGCGTAACCTAGGGAGGTAGGGAGACTACTATCGGTATAGTCTGTGAAGAGGAGTAAGATATCCGTGATTGTACAGCTGAATGGAGTGGGGAAAGCGAACCATCTCGTCGAAGTAGAGAACAATGGATTGGGGAAATCTGTGGAATAAGGCTTGTAGAAACTAGGAAGAAATCTTTTTTTTGTGTTAATAATTTAAAAATTTCATGCGTTAGTTGACGTTCAATAATTTGTGTGTATTTTGTTAGTGCAATTACAATTGCAATTACAATTATATCGAGATCTATAACTATATATACACTTTATCGATTTATAACATATGTAGTGCAGTTAAAAAAAATTTCTCTGAATAAGCGACTTTACTTAAGTCCCTTGTCTAATACGCAGGTCAAGAAATAGAAAATTTGCCCCGTAAACCACTAATAGCCTTAATTTAAATTTCAGAACATAGCTGATTTCTTTCATATTGACATCTTTGTAACAGTCATGAAGAACGTGCAAAAATTACAACTGGTTAAAATATTTAGAATAAAGTTAGTCATAAAACTCATGAATACAAATTGCCTGACACGTAATATAATAAATACATATCCATTATAATGGACACATCATACTCAAAATCTGAAAACATGTATGTTGATATGTAAATCCATATTTCAGCTATTTTAAATAGCTAAGTAAGGATTATCTCTTAGTGCAGTTGAAAAGTGAAGTAACATATAATAGTAATAAGATCCAGTAATGTTGGTTTATTTTGTTATCTGATAAACTGATAACTTAATCATATAAAGGATATACTTTTTGATATAAATTTCACGTATCCTATCACAGTTTCGGTTTTAGAGAATAGGCTTCCTAAAGCATTCAGTTCAATATCGATCGTATGTTGTATTCTCGTTGCATGAAAGTTACTTATATGAACTTTCTAAAGATATGTATAAAGAATTTGTATATATACATATTTAATTGAAATCATTTAATCATTTAAATACAAATTTTTACACCTTCATGAACTACGATTATCTGCTAATTCGAAATGCAGATTATTCCTCGAAGATGAAGAAACTACTATGCATATTCTTTGTGACTGTCCAGCTATAATAACGCAAAGAAGAAACTTGTTTTATATGGAATTTCTGTCACAGGAACAGATTAAGAGCTCTTCTCTAGATTTAGTTTTGCACGTTATTCACAAAGCTTTAAAGGGCTTTGTGTAATCAATAATGAAATTGGTACAATAGAACTCTTCTAGCCGCAGTACCGGCTGTTGGGTGATTTCAATCAACACTTTCAATAATAACTGATATTTTAGAATCAACATTTAATTAGTATAATTATTAATTATTATACTAATTTACTAATTAGTATACTAATTATACTAATTTAATTAGTATAATAATTTTTAGTAGTTTACTTTACACTAGGGTTTTATAAGTACTATTAAAACAACTTTTGTAATAAAATCAAATAGATTTTTATGTACTCATGATTTCTTGGTTTTTGTAAAAACAACCTCAAAAAATTTTGAAATAATTATATTATTATATTGGTTTATGTTTGAATTTCTTATTATATTTGCGATACTGACTAACAATCGTCTGCCCAAAGCAACATTTAAGGAAAGAAGAACAGAACTCATAAGGACAACTTGCTGAAATGAATTGTGAATATCCTCTCTGACCCTGTGGCAATTGCATTAATAACGAAACGTTTCATCCAACAGAGTGGCTCCTATAATCGGCTCTAGTTAATAAGTTTTATTCTCCCCAACTAAGGAAAAAGGAAAGCAATTCTTGTTAAGCATTTAATTTACATTAACAGATTCTTTTAGGCTACCATTTTGAGTACATCTACAATTGCTCTTAGGTGTGTTTTTGAGTACATTAAATTCAGTAAATAACCCATGGCCATACCCAAATGTATTTATTCACTCTCTCAAGTTTAAAGAAAAAAAAATTTTTTTATTCCACAATGCATAAAAATTCTAAGTAAATTGTTTATGACGGTGGCACTCATGTAGATATTTTCTTTCCTTTCATGATTTTCATGACTAAATTCTGGATTGCGACTTGACGATTCTGCGTATGCTGAACTTAATACGGTTGGCTTAGTGTTCTGTATCCTGTGGTCATGGCATTCAAATGAGAGGTGTTGAATGTAAATCAGTTGATGGCAGCTTAAGTGCAAAATGTGACCCCAACACAAAGCCGGCAGGCGTACAACAATGCGCGACTGGGATATCCTGTGAAGGCGGCAGTGTTACGGGAGGTCAAATTATTATAGGAAGTAGTAATCCCATTTCGACGGTAAGTAACTTAATTACAATTCTGCACACTTTTTTGTAAAATGATTTATTGCTGTTGCATTTTGAATTGCTAATGATTATCTCTTGTTTACTCTTAAGAATAATGAACAGTTTGGCGATAGTTCTGCCATTGATGACTCCGATGAGGAAGACGATAATGATGCTGAGGACGTGGATATGGACGAAAATGAATCTGGTGGTGCTGAGGATACTGAAACGATATCGTATAATGATCAACCACCACTATATGCACAACATTCGGTTAATCGTTTGTATCATGATGAAATGTCTGAACCTAAAACTCAACGCTTGACCAGTAATGGACGCGGTTCATATAAAGAAAACTCAGAACCACTACAACCATCTGCAGATCCGACGTAAGTTTAACCTATTTTTACTATTGAAACTAGTATATACAAAGTCTGTACATCTAAATATATGACAGTTAGCTGCAAAGTATTAAACCTCCTGAAATAATTTATAAGTTTTAAGCACCAATAATAATTTGGAAAATTTTAATATTAATCTCAATGTATTATGGTATATACAGTAATCATAATAATTTATAGATAGTCATAGATTTCATTATTTCAAAAAAATAAATTTAGTTCTTTAAGACATTAAAATTTATACAAATTAATATATTACATATTTGATTGGAGACAGGCAGAGTCACCTCACAATATATATAATTTCATTGCTCCTTTTGGACAAAATTGAACCGTTATAAGATGTGGTCTTTTTGAACCAACTATCAAGAACTCTTAGAAGAAACAACAGATTTTTGATTTAGTTGAAGTTTTTATCACTCTTAGTTTTAAAACCACCATATTTTCGAAGAGCTCTACTAAGAATATTCTACAGTGATTCTATAATTGGAATAACTCTCAAGTGTCTAGTTGCTAATAGAAGATTAGAATGTGTTCAATTTTGGTGTTGGATTTATCATAGCATAAAATCAGCAATACAAAATAAAGTATGGATTTATTTAAAAAATTATTCTTGAAAGGAAAACATTCCACTGATCCAAACTAAGCCCGAAAGCCATAGTTCGTGTTAAAAACATCTGTATCACAACTTCAGTGTTAATTTAAAAAAAATGTATAGTGTTTTTGAACAATATTTATTTGTTCAATAAAATTAAATTTCAAATAATATTTAAGGTTTTAATAAGTTACGGTTTAATTGACTTACTGGCATTTATTTGCCTATTGAAAAATCAATTTTTGAAAAAATCGAATAGAACCTTGTACTTTGACATGCCGACAGATTAAGTCGAGAAAAAGATAAAATACTTTTTTTACACAAATCATGATTTCTAAAGCCACTAGTTTTAAGGACTTTATATATGCATTGGATTTTGTGTTAAAAATTTAATTTTTTAAAATATATAAGTCTAAAACATATAAATAGATCTATTTAAATAGATATAAATAGACTAAAGGTGCACTGCCTGCTCAGAACCCAATCCTTGTTAAATACTGCATGAAATCAATTTGTACATATGGACTTCAATTATTTGGCAATGCAAGTGCATTAAATAATAGAACTTTTTGAAAACCTTATTTAAAATAACAAACGAAACAACCAAAGTACAATTTTACGTTAAAAATAAGAAAAAAAATCACAAAAATCCTACAAGTATCTATGCTAATATCTATGCAATATCAAGTCTTAATCAAGATCCTCAAAAAAGGAGGCTCCTAAAGAAATTAATCGCCGCTGTGTACGAGCTGGGCAAAAACATAGTAGATGAGAGTGACTCCCATCGTCTTCCCCACAACTGCGACAGTTTTGATTGAAAAAAAGATTTAATCTTCTTAGTTAACAGTGACCTATATCTCGCCATGTGTAGAAAACCTATGTGTAGGACTAGACACCTGAGAATATCAAACTGTCCAATTGTAAGGAAAAACCAATTGATCTAATTTGATCTATAAATCTATTATATATAATTTTTATTTTTTCAGTCTTTTCTGTTCCACTCTTCCTTATTTTTCTATGCAAGAACACAAAATCCACCTATTTAAGGATAATGTGTCTCTTAACAGTTATCTTTGTCCAATAATCATTATTCAAGTTTCTATAATTAAGTACAGAGTCGTAGCATACGAATTACTTGTTGTAATCAACGTTTAACTTTTTTCGTGCAACATATTTTTATAGTGTAGTTGTAAGGAATCTTAATATTTAAATACTTATTCTTAATATGTGAGCAAAAAAAATCTTCATAAATAATTCCAGCAAACATATAAAAAGGATTCAACATCCTACAAATTAATCACATTTTTTTATTCGATTAGCCAAAAAATTTTATTTAAAGACTGCTATTATTAGATACGTAAGGTTTATTTCGGAGAAGGCATGTATATTAATCCTTCACTTATGTGTTATCGAAATTTCGTAACATTTGGGTATATAGAACCAAAATTATCACATCCTCGGTTAAAGTGCTTTAAAATATTGCTATTACTATTACAAGAGACTAGTAGTATCTGTAAGGGTTGCAATAATCTGCTTCGATGGAAGCTAATATTCGATATTAAAAGTTGCACGAGAACTGTACAGACAGTTTTTTCAAATCATACTTCAATAGATCTGTTAACGATGTAATGCTCTCCTCCGCTGGGATGTAGTATTTCATTTATTCCTTGTTTTTACAATTTATAGAAAAACTGTATAGACAACAATTGATTTCTTCAAAGAAAGCTATGATGGAAAAAAATGACCAATGGAATAGACTACCAGATACTAAAATATAATTTTCCACTATCACAATGGTCGGTTGCATATTGCTCTATCGCTGAAAAATCATCTCGTTTAGAACACCATAAATAGTGTTCCCTTACGTTTACCGATTATCGTCCATTTTATTAAATGTCGAATGATATCTCTGACATACGATTCAGTTGTATTCAAGTTGCTGAAAATCCGCAAAATTTATTTTTGACATCGAAACTTTTAATCTTTGGCAAGAAACCTTTAACTTGCTAAATAGAGGAGAAATGGGTATAATTTTCGATGGGCAATATTTTATAAATAAAGTTTGTAAATAGACTCAATCGATTATAGCTTCTCAAGCATCTTAAATATTTTCTTCGATAAAACTTTAATTTCCAATTTAATAATTTAGTAATACAGAATGCTACTAATTAGCTGCAGAATTTCTCATTAGAATCACAATGTTTTCCAACCGAACTTACTCTGAAGTAACTAATTAAAGTTAAAGCTTTCAACAACCTGGAAAGAAAACAAATTTTTTTTGTTTTGTTTTTTTTTGGTTTGTCATTAGCATTTTTATATGAATTTACTTTTACGAAATTATTGAATTAGTTCAAATTGCACTCTAAGCATAAAGTCACCTAATTTCAATCGATTAGCATCTAAGCGCAAGAAATTATGTCTGTGTAATTTACGTACGGAGCTTGAGTCGGAAGTGTGTACTTAAAGCAAAACACCTTCAGTGGCTAATCACTTTTTCATACACAATCCACAATCATCACTAAGCAGGCAACAAACACACTTAAGTGCTGTTAATGAACTTAAGTGGCTTGTACGCTTATTTGTTTGCTGTGCTCAGTGCAATTGTTTACGATTATAGACGTGGTCTATGGGTTTGTGTTGATTTCGGTCTGTATATGAGTATCTGCGATGACGTGTTAGGAAATGTTATTTAATGGATAAGAGTGCTTAATAAGTCCATAGAGCAAGCAGCGTCCTGAGCGTCCTGCGAGAAGTGCGAGTGAGGTGATTTGTGTGATAAGCTTCATTACTGCTAAATAGTATTTTTCTCGCCTTCAATTAACTCAAATACACAGAATGAGGGGCAATGAAATAATAGTCAAACCAATCAAAAATCTCACTTAATTGACAAATTAAAAGCAAATACACAGTACTAAATACTGTCGCAACAATTTGCATAGAACTACATTGTGGACTACGAACTACGAACTACGAACTAGAGGCTACCGACTACTGACTACTCACTACTGACTACTGAGTAGTGAGTACTGACTATAATGCGAGTTCACACAATAATCCAGCAATTCATTTTCATTTCAATGCTTTTAATTGTTCTAGTTTTATTCAAAGCGATGAACATTAGCATTATGGGTACTTTTCCCTCATTTTCCTCAGAGCTTCCGCTTTATTTAAATTGTTACTTTTTGTTGTTCCTGTTTTCTGTTGCCATTTCCGCTACTGTTTCTGTGACGTCTTTTGTTTCGGAATTTGTCGCCAGCGACAATTCATTACGACTTCTACGCTATTTGCTGTGAGTCATAGTCGAGCAGGCAAACAGACAGGCAAACAGACAGGCAAGCAGGCAGGCAGGCAGGCATACATTATTATGGCAGATACTTTACATAGTTGAGTTCACTCAACGTGGCGACTTTTGAATTCTAGTATTATCGATTTCATAAAAACCATTCCGTTTAAGTTGTTCGGACAACCAATGTATTTTGGATTTTTGTAATAAAAAATTTATAATGAAATCTCTGAAAAATAAATAAATATATACAAATATACAACCAAAGGAACTATATAGACAATGTAGTAAATATAATTTTTTATGAGTTTCTTGTCAGCAGCTCTCTACGTATCTATCAGGCTCTGCTCGTTCTGGCATTAGGCCATATATCAGTATTTATGCATATGTCTGTTGGTATGGCGGTTGACTTGGATGCCTTGCGAATTGGTTACTCGTGATACTAGTTGGCAAATATTGTATCAACTTCTGCTATATTTTGGTTATGTTCGTGTGATTGTGTGTGATGGCAATGATGTAGTTTCTGCTGTTGCTGATTTTGGGTGCTGATGCTGATGCTGCTGCTGGCGAAGTTTTTGGAAAGTAGGTCGATTCGGTTGCGCTTTAATGGAAATGGATAAAACAGCTATCGTGGCAAATAGGCTAATTCTGATTTTTCTTTTCTCAATTTTTTTCCTTCATTTTTTCATTGTTTTTATAACATAGTTTATTTGAGTCGTGGTAGGATGCGGCGTCGACAGCTAGACGCGACTCCATGTCGTCAACAGTTTTGGCTGCCATTTGCTTTAGTATCTTTATACTCGTACATTCTTTCTACATGGCTTTTAATATTTTTTACTTTTTATTGCGGTTAAGTTTATAAATTGTTAGATATTTACTAGCATTTTTTTATATTCATTTTTGTTAACTATATAAATTTTATATACAAGCTCTTAGTTTATAATCAAAAAGTATATATTTGCAATTAAAATTCAATGCTAAAATTCAGATTGTAAGAACTTTTTTATAAACTTTCAGTCACGTAGTGATATGTTTACGAATTTAAAAATTAGTGTACTTCAAAAGTAGTTTTAGCAGATTTATGATTTTGACTCTTTTATACCACTAGTCATATATATATAAACATACATTATAGTATCAGAAGATACTATACAGCATTAAAGAGAGTTATTAACTGCGGTAACCAAAACGTAACACTGCATACATGTGAAGAAATCTATATATATATATATATATAAGCACAGGTCAGCAGCTCTAGCCTCTCTACGTGCCTACGTCAACCCTAGTAGTAAATCGGATTTTAATTCAAGACGCTTAACTCTGGACGATACTGAGAGTAACACTAATGGAAAGTTCACTTATGAAATTTTTAAAGATAGTAACTTTCAAATAATTGCTATTAAAATTTTATGACATTAGAAGAAGTAATCATTTAGTTAGCGGTCAGTAGCTGGCAAAATTCGCACAAAGCTTGAAAATCGCAACAGAAAGCTTGCAAAGTTATAACAAATTTGTAAAGTTATATAGCTTATATGGATGTAAAGTTATAAAATCATCAAAGGATGAAGCTATCATGGTTTCTAATGAAGTATGAAGTATGGTTTCTAATACAAAAGCGTAGTCAACATTGCACATATGCAAAACTGTGAAGTCTCCATTCATTCTCAAGGAGCCTTTTATAAACCAATCAGCACTCTAAATTTTTTAGTACTAACTTTAGCTCGATATACTATATACTGAAAAATCAAGGCGATATTCTGATGATCATAGATGCCACTATGCAATTGAAATAAAGATTCGAACAATGTCATTAAAACATTTAATCAATATTGGTTTATTAAGGCGTCTAGTCACTTTTACTGAAATCTTTGGTTAACTACGGTTTCAAAAAACTTTCTGAAGTTTCTTCGCAGTATACAGTCGCATAAATCTAGATGGCGGGATATGTCCATATGTATATTAAATATATTAATTACTCAAAATAATCAAAGTATTTATTCTCCATTGCAAACCAATGTATGTTAACCTACACAAAATTAGAATATATTAGAATATATGTGAATTATATGTGAATTAAGTATATTTATTATTTAATATATAAACTGATATACTGATATATGATTTAAAATAAAAATTATACTACTTTCAGTTTTATAAAGGAAACCGAATGGTCACCATGCAGTGTCACTTGTGGAGAAGGTATACGACGACGTCCATACAAATGTAAGATATTTCTAGAATATTCAAGAACTATTGCAACAGTAAATGACACTTTATGTGATGGCCCAAAACCACATGATGAAGTTGAACGTTGTGTTGAAGACCCTTGCATGCTTCCCTCACATAGTTTCGATGATCAGTATCCACGTGATTCAATTAAAGTTGGCGTTTCGGAACCTGGCAAAACATATGTTTGGCGAGAACAAGGCTACACTTCATGTAGCGCCAGTTGCTTAGGTGGTGTTGAAGAATTAATAATAAATTGCGTACGTGAAGATAATGGACGTGTGGTATCACCATTTTTATGTTCACCTGAAGCGAAGCCAGAATCACGTGTACGTACATGTAATGATCGTCCGTGCCCACCACGTTGGAACTACTCTGATTATACACCATGTTCAAAATCATGTGGATTTGGCATAAAGACACGTGAAGTACAGTGCATACATGAAGTGACACGTGGTGGTGAAAATACAATGGTTGTGCCTAATAGCATGTGCCCTCAACCACCACCTGCCGATAGACAGTATTGCAATGTACTCGATTGTCCTGTACGTTGGGAAGTAGGTGAGTGGTCGAAATGTTCGCATACCTGTGGCTTTGGTATCAAAGAAAGAAAAGTTGAATGTAAACAAATAATGGCACAAGAGCATAAAATTGAGCGCCCTGAAACAATGTGTCCTAGTGCGAAGCCTCCAGATAAGAAGCCCTGCAACGTGAAATCATGCCCACCAGAAGATCCAAAACCTGTTATATCTATCAGTAATACAACTCATATACAACATGATCCAAAAAAGTCTAAAATTACTTTGAAAGTGGGTGGTGCCGGAGTTGTTTTCTTTGGCACACAAGTCAAAATCAAATGCCCAGTAAAACGATATAATCGTACCAAAATTAAATGGAATAAGGATCACAAACCACTGGCACGCTCTAGAAAATTTAAAATATCTAAGAAAGGTGCACTGCGTATACTAGACATCACTTTTCGTGATGCTGGTATTTATTCATGCCATGCCGGACTAAGTTCAGCAGAGATACATATTGAGGTGAAAGCTAAGCCTGGACAGCAGGTGACGGATCTGGAGCGACAGGAATCTGGTATGTGTTACAGTTTTATTAACTTAATTTAATAATGGCATATATTTTCTCAGATAACAATTAATGCTTGTTATGAATTCTTTAAACATATAGTGAAAATATTTCTGGGGATATTTTATAAGTAACAGAAAATAATTTTTCTTAGTTTTAATTTAATTAATTTATTACTATTTTAATAGATATATTTATAGAATTAAAATTTTTAATTTTAATTTTTGAAAATAAAACTTATAGAATGTAAGTGTAAATGAAGACTAAATTATGATAAATGCTCATTAACTGAATTTTTTTATATATATATATAGGATACATGTATCTAAAGTATAAAGAAGACTAACTTATATTATTCTTCATCTGAATTAGATGTGGATGTGTTGCTATATTATATGCTAAGTAAACTTTAATGTAAATGTGGTGTGAAAACATGTATATATACAGTCTACTTATCGTAAAACTAAATATATTATCAAAACACAAAGCCTTCCGTTATTTCGATCGTTTTGTTTAAGAAACATTTTTTGTTTATAGAAAAAAACTTAGTATATATATAATTCAGAAGTGGTTGATCGTGCATTATATCAGATAATTGATCAATTAAGAGAAGTATGTACGATTAAAGTACGGATTTCATACTTTAATCCTACTTTGCACTAGGTCTGACACTGAAAATTTAAAGATTTGGGAAGGGTTCTAATGCATTAACTCTACTTTGGACAGTGCCTTACACTTTAAATTGCTATTTCGTTATGCTAGTTTTAATAAAAAAAAAAAACATGATAATGGCAATAACCACATACAATGACAATAACCACACACATTTGCAATGACCACATACAATGACAATAAACACACACAATGACAATTACTAGAGACAATGACAATAACCACATTCAAATAAAATCTGATTAAGTGTTTTGAATGATAAAATTATTTAGTTAAATATTTTTCCCAATTGTTGCTATGGTTATGAAAGACGTGAACTGGGCTTTAAAGTTTTCCTATGCACTGAAATGTGTTGCAATTCCAATTCTAGCATTCATAACTTCAACACATAATAGGAACTTTTGATCAATCGATATTTCGGATAACGGCGATATCAAAAGACACTAGAATATAAAACCAAATCGGATTTCAACCATGCAATTTACTACTCATATGAAGTAATATTAAAGTTTTATTTCATCAAAATTTTTAAGATTTATACAATCAAGTCGTAAAACCTTTAAACATTTTCTTATGGTAAAAAAAAAAGACGAAGCTATTTTTTAGAAATCAGTTCTCTGTTTCATTAATAATTTTTAATACATAGACCTTAAGCAAAAACCGCTTATATTTAATATGAATATCTAATCTATTTTAGTAAGCAATTAATCTATTAAACAAAATATACACAAACCATCAAGTTTTGGGGCTTCATATTATAAACCATATTAGAAGTTTATGAGAATTACAAATTTTTTTCTTTTTTATGACGTTGTTAAAGCACCACAAGCACTATAAATTTGCGTTAAGTGATAATTGAACTCTCGACAATACACCTGAAAACAAAAACCATTTTTTAAAAATTATTAAAAATTCAATCAAAATTTTTTTTTATTTAAAAAATTATGAATATTTTTTAAAAAATATTAACAAACACAAATGTTGAAAATAAATGTATATTAAATTTTTATTTATCTTATTAAAATGTAAATACTTGTCACAAACTTGCTTCTATAACTTCAATTTTTTGTAGCATAATTTATGTTTTTTTATTTAAAACTGATTTTGCCGGCAGTTAGCAGTTGGAAGCAGTTAGAAACTTTCCAGAATGTTTAAAAATATATCTATGTTCTTCAAAATGTTATCTTGTAATACACCTTATTTCTTTATTCATTTAGTCTTTGAAATCGCTTATTATTGTGTCATAATTTTCAAGAATATTCTCTTCTTGATTTCTTTGTTTTATTTCAGTCGAGATATATTACCTTTGAAGTTACATAAAACACTATTCCGTAAATGTTGTGCGAATTCCATAGTTTTTCCTGATACAGCTGATCAGCTTATTCTGCTGATCCTTGAGTTTCGTTATAATATATATATATATATATATATATATATATTTGGTCCTCTACAAGAGGTGCTTGATAAAATCAATACTATTTTATTTTGGCAATTGAAAGATCATCTTTTAGTACATCTTCTGGAAAATCGAAATAAAAACGATTATATTCGAAAAGAACTTCTTCGGAATGAAAATTCTGCCGCTCTAAACACGAATAAAAAATTTGTTTTGTCAAAGTTTTAACTTCCTGTGAAATCAATTTTTGGATTCTTGCTCCAATTTCCTTTACCAAGTAACGTAAACATTTTTGGAGATACAGAGTCGCACAATCATATTTTGATCTCATACTTATCGGAATTTAAGGTCAAATATTGCCGTAAACAGACATTATAGTTATGTCTGTGACAACTACTGTGGGTCAAGATTGATATTTATTCAAATCATGTAATATTTTCTAAAATTAAAATTAGTTCTGTCCTATCATCAAACAGTTTTTTCATATATGTTGTTCAGTTTACTACTATTCTTTCTTCCTGATTTTCTGTTTCAATATAATATATAATTTAGGAATGTCTCCGACCGACAAACATTGTATGGCTAAGTGATATATGGCATATAAATATGATATGCAATTTTTTTGTTTTGAAGGAGTGTTTACAGTTTATAAAATTCTTGAAAAATACCTCCTAAATTTTAAAGCGATAGGATGATTAATTTCATTATAATCCATAATTATATGGAAGAATGCGTCTGAGAGACACATGTTGTCTGGGTTGGGGTATATATATTTCGTAAATAAAAAGTTTAATATTTCAAGTGTACAACAAAATAATTTGATCACTATTCAAATGTACTCTAAAAATATACATACATTTATAATGCAAATGTAGGGTAATGGGAAATTTTGTGGTCATTGCATTAACATGCTCGTAATCCTCACTCAATAAAGTTAACTTTTGTACATTTTCCTCTGTTTAAAGTTTAAAGCAACATAATTTAATGATTCCTTCTAAGACTCTAAGGAAGCCAAATCGAGTTTATGATCTCACTGTGGCTTTAACAAGGACAAACTTTTACTATGAATGGACTTTTATCTTAAGTATGCATATATGTGAAAAGTGTGGTAAATCCTCCTTTAATGCAATACCGCAACCGCACAAAATTGCTTGCTGTTGACACTTTTCATCATAAAATTTATTGGAATTTAAATCTCGTAATTTCACTTCACTTTTCAAATGAACAAATTAAAAAAAGCATAGATGAAGGCAGAAGAGGACCCACATACAAAGTTTCTATAAAATATTCTATAAAATATTTATTTTATATGATTTTATTTAAATATATATGGTATTATATATTGAGTGTCAGTATTTAAGTTATAAACTATTATTTTTTTTTAATAATAATGTTTAACTTGATATACAACTTAGAATCTATTTAGTCAATTCATTTTTTTCTTCAAATAATTGGTAATAAAAATTTTGTATAATTGTTTTAATAACTAAAAAAATTTAACTAAATATATTGCATATTTATAATAACATAGCAGTGATATATAAGCCGTTTTCTTTGAAATTGGTGTTGGTAGGGTAGGTAGGTTGGAGTGGCGGCCTTGTTTCCAAAAAGCCCACTTGAGCTCAAATGATGGCCCATTCTGGTATCACAGGAATGGCATTGGTATGTATATAGATTTAAATCAGTATACAGCCAACGCCGAAGAAGGTAACGACTCTCCCATTCTCCCATTAGGTAGAGGAAAACCAACCTGACAGTTCCTGGTTTAAGTGTATTTTATTTTTTATGGAAATATTAAAAATAAGGTTTTGCCTTTGATTAATTAAAAAAATATGTATATATCTTATTACATTTGTTTTGTATTTTTAAAATAATAAATTTATGTGATAAATTTAAATTTATAGTCATTTTCGAAATCTGATTATTAAAAATTTATACTTTAATGGCTTCAAAAGATCTCAATTAAAACAAACCAATTTCTTTTTATGAAATTTTTATTATATACCTCAATAATAATAAAAATAAAAAAATATCACAATAGAAGGGCTTTATTTTAAAATTATTTATACTCTCACAATTAATATATTTCAACTTTTTTCATTATGATCAAGTTTTGATATATTGGTGAGATATATGATAATAAATCATTAACATCTATTAATTATTCAAATGTGATAGGTCTGAAATGATGCTTTCCATCTGTTAGTACTATAATTTCAAAGTTTTTAGTCTATACCTTATAGTCAATAAATTTAGTGATTTAAGATCCGTATTCTCACTTAATAAAGTTTTATTGAACATTGTATATGTTGTGCTTTTTGAAACCCTTGTCCAACATATCTTCAACTAATTTAATTTTTCACTACTAATATATTTTCACGTTTTTAGATTTAAAACCCTTCTAAGGGTTTTATAGAATCTAAATCAGCTTGATTCATTTCATGCAAAATAAACTTGTTATATATTCGGCATTATTTTATGATAATTTAATAGTCTTTAAGGACATACACACAATAAATCTTTTTTCATATAGTACTTTCGATAATTGCAAATTTAGCATACTTTTTTAGATATGACTGCCTAGAATATAAAAGTTTATAGTCGTTAATTTTTGTGACTTTCTTGGCGGACAGAATAACTTAAAGCTACATTAAAGCCAATTTCTATATTTTTCTGTATATAAAAAAATGCACTAATGAAATCATGTAGCATAATTTTGAACTAAATAGTACTCATAGTATGTCCTTCAGGAAAGTGGACTTACACTTTAATTGTATAACTACTACATTAACTATCAAAGTTTTGTAATAATAAAAACAATAAAAATTTTAACAGATTTTTTGGAAAAAGTTTATAAATAAGAAGTTTATAGTATGAATACAATATATTCATTTTTATCAGTAACTGATTTTTTATCAAAATGGACTTACCATACACCACTTTCAAAGTAAACGACTCATACATATGTAGAACGTATTTTTATATTTTTACGGGAGGGACTCTTACTTTAAAATACATATAACTTTTATTTAAGAGTAAGGTTTTAAGTTAACAAATATAAGAAAACATTTTAGTATTGTTGTATATAGGTGTCATGTATTTATGTATTTTCTTTTTCATGTATTTTTCATGTATTAGCTTAATCTGTTTAAATAAAATAAATTTGAAAAATATCTTCTGTTGTAGATAAAAAAATATTAAAAAGTTGATAACAATCTTTGCTATTAAAGAAATAATTAATATATATGTATTACAGATCGACTTGTACGTGAACGTAGTGGTACTGAGCCTCTCACATCAGCCGATATGACAGCTATCGAAGGAAATAATAGGTGAGTATCTTTAAGTAATAATATAATATATTGTAGCAACAAGACAACGTCAAGAAAAATGTAATGTCGTAATGTTTTATTGATGAAATTTTATTTTACAATACATGTTTAATATAACAAATTAAAATAAATATTCTTTTTCACAATATTTTGCAATTATACCACCAAGGAACAAATTTAATTATTTTTACTGCATTATAGAATATTGTTTTGTTTGAAAATTCTTGCTAATTTGAGATTAATTGCACTCTTTAAAATCGTCATTATTTTGTTAGTTAAACAATAAATTTCCTTATAATATTTTTTAAGCATTCAATCCATTCACTGTTATTTTTTTTATCAGTACAAATGGTATTACATCCAAAGATGCTCTTTACTTATAAACACATTGGCGTATTGGCGTATAAATCTTATAGACTTCTTATTTTGTTGCGGAGTGTTTTCGCGGGTTGAGTTTCTTAACAATCCGTTTTATCCAATCCAGTCGACGAACCAAGAAAAGAACTAAACATACCACAATTTTCTGCATTCGTCTGATTTAAAGAGACCTTCCTTAAGCTGGTAGCAGTTGTAGCTATAATATCCTATAATGGCACTATATAGGATCTTCTGAACAAATTTTTAAAATCACAATGCGTCATTTTATTTATAAAAAATAGAAATTTGATTGTGTATACTAAACGCAATAGCTTAAATAAAAATAATTGAGTTTTGTAATAATATTAAAATGATATTAATTTGATGCTTTGTTGGGTAGCCAGAGAGAGACGAAACGGAAAAAACAATATGTCAACTCTTGCCAACTCGTTAGTTTTTATAAAAACCTTACCAAGTAATATAAAAACTCAATCTCAGTCGTGCTTCCATATTCATTGAGTTGAACTTAAAGTTTTTTAAATGAAGCTTGAAGTACTATTTAAGCTATCAATCAATCCTAGTCATTCTTTCATATACATTGAATTGAGCCTTTTGTGGTTAAAGTATTTTAAATGAAGCTTAAACAAATATTCCAGCTTATTTATGCTGATGAGCGAATATACTTGTTCCCGAGTAACGCAAACTGCTTTAAACTTATTCGAATATTTGGTTCAAACTCTTTGAATATGTTTGTATATCTAAAATAGATCACAACTACTCAAATAGCAAATCTGCTAAATATTTCATTTATAGTTCTTTGTTTTTGTATATAAATAACTATTGTATATGTTATTCTAGTATTTGTGTAAGATTTGTTTTTTTTAATACTCGTGTATTTCTTAAAGGTTTTCAAAGTTTTTGATTCAAATATTTGAATTATAAATACTATAATGTTGAAAAACTAATTATAATAGGTAACAACAACCAATTCTTTTTATATTTCCTTGCAATGCCTTTAAATTTTAAAATAAATCTTTCCAGTGTAGTATCTATATTCTTTATTCTGTTCAATATACCATTATTAATATTTTAGAATATAAACGTGTATTTTTTCAGTAAAAGTGTTTCAATTAATGTAAGAAAAATTTATCAACCAATCAAACAAGAAAAAAAAAGATTGACCTATTTTACTATAACATAACTTAAGGTTATTTAATAAGAAATATTTAAAGTCAACTTTTTCAAGAGCAAAAGTACATTTTTTTCAGCTTATGATAACATTTCAAGATAGCTTAAGTGAGAGTATATAAATACTTTATTTTTCGATTTAATAATTTACTATACATCTTCTAATTTTTCAATGACTTTTATGTACTATAAGTCGAACTCAATACTAATACTGATCACCGCTTGAGACTAAATTGCTATTAAACTAAACATATCTTAAATTTCGACTTATTTATGTTATCAATTTAAAATGAAAATTAAATTTCCTTTGGCTTCCAATTGAAAAATAAGTTGAATTTTTTATAGAAATACTTGTAGTATTTTTCTAAATCAAATATTTTAAATGCTCACTTGAATGATATAACATATATAAGAAAATACGTATACGCACTGTTGCTCTCGGCTATATGCAGATAAATCCAAGTACACATCTATTTGCGTTCGCAAGAACTTTATTTTTACTTATGTTCAACTGTATTTCACTATATGCATATATAAATAAATATATATATATTTATTTATTTAAAAATGTACATATATATATACATTTATTTTATATAATGTAGGGGAAAATCTTTTGTAGAAATTTGTTTAACGTTTGCTTGCCAGTCAGCTTGTCTGTTTATGTCGCATGCAATATGTTGTTGTTGTTTTTTTTTTTTTTTTTTTTTTAATAAAAATTGCAACACATTCATTTTATCAAGATAAGCGCTGTTGCATACCCCCGCATTCTCATTTTTACCCTTTTTGTTATACATTTTTGCATTTCTAAGCCAACATTGCAGGCTGACCTCTTGAAAGTAACAATTTCCGTTTATATCTTTTGAAATGGTTTCGCTTATTTGTCCGTCCGTATAGTTATTGTTTGTATTTTGCTGGAGAAGAATCAAGTGTGGCCAACTTAGCCACTACATATATTCATATTTATATTTCTAGTTTATTTTTAATTCATTTTTTAGTTTTCACAAACCCAATATTTTCCCTAAAAATACAATTTTTTCCCTTCTCCGGATTGCTTTCGTCTTCAACGTTCAAGTTGATAAAGTTACACTTTTACATTTTATTTTCACATTTGGTATCCTTGTCCTAGCCAATTCCCTTGGCAAGTAAGTTTGTGTACTGCAAGTATGAAAAGTTGCATTGTGTCCATCAACTCCGATGATATGATGACACAAAATCACATTTTGCCTTAAACATTCTTTAACATTTATTTATTTATTTTTAATTTATTTCGTATTCTCTTTACTTCGACTTTTTACAGTTCCCAAACCTCACGTAGAAAGCAACACAACAATGGACGTGAACGCAATAGGCGACCTAAATCTGGTGAAGTCCAACATGCGGACAGCAGCATCATGGAAGACGAGGTGAGCACTTATGAACATTTTTCCTATATTTATATATATATATATCTTTATTGTGTGGTTTCTTTGTTTTTGTTTTTTTTTTGTTTTTTTTTTTGTTTTTTTTTATTTTGAATTTTTATCTTTTCCATCCTATTTTTATGATTAAATGTGCTTTACTAATGCTCGATGAAATTCGGTCAGCAGGAAATGTTTTAATATTTGCTCTCTAAATATTATTTAGCTTTGCGGAATTGTTATATCAGCAAAGTTAACTTCTTTGCTTAGTGTATTGGATTTTCGAAGGATATTGCGCGCTACACAGTGTGTTTGTCCACTTTTCATTTAACAGGTTTAAAATGTTTATATTTGTGTTTGTTTTTATTTTCCTTACTAAAGTAATTCGATAGTTTTCTTCTTCATTTGTCGGCAGGATTTTATGTCCGAAATCAAGTTTGCGCAGCAGGTTGCTGATTTAAGGTTTCAACAGCTTTCGCCTGTTTGTCGTTTTTTTATCCTGATTTGTTTTTTTTTTTTTGTTGTGATTTTCCACAATATCACTGTTTTATTTCAAAATTTAATAAAGTAAGAAAATAGTTTCTTCTCTGATATTTAGTTTCTTTTTTTTATTTTGCTCGGAAATCAGTTTCAACTTTAACATTAATTCTGCAATATTTTTAATTTATATATATTGAATGAATATGCATAAAAGGAACCTAAAGTATTTTTAAATCAATAAACATGGTAGTATAAGTATTTTAACGATAACTGTTGATAATCATGAAAATTAAATAATTAACTAAGACACTAATCATATGCGCGAAATAAAAAGAATTGCTTAAGACATTAAACATCCAGCATCCGAACAATCAGAATATCTTATAAATATCATATAATGTATACGAATTAATATAGTAAGAGGCATAAGAGTTATATTAAGACTTATGTCCATATACCTATGAACTGAAAAGTTTTGGATGTGTCATTAAATAGGCAACTTTTAATAGTATTCATTTCAGTATACCACAGATCCGACTTCTAAAAGATGCTACATGCAATATTAATAGCATTCCAGTTATTAATTAACAATTTACAATGCCACAATTTTTGAACAATTGACAAAATTAACAGAAACAAAATAAAATCGTTTTGTGCGTTGATTGCCTTTCCATAAAAGGGTTAATACCAATTAAGCAAAATAATAACTTGCATACTTATTTGACCATAACACCCCGTTACCCGGTTACCCGGCAGTATGTCTCTTCATGCGTCTCAGATCTTAGCCTGAATAAATCGTTTAAGCTCTGCCGTGGGAAAATGAAGCAATATTTATTAGTATGCCGATTTACTTATTATTTATTGTTTATTATATAAAACTGAATTTGTATACATATTTCAGGATATATAACCGCTCTATATGTTTTCGAGAGCAGTTATAATTATAATTCACTCTGCGGAAAAAATCAAGCAAACTGAAATGTCGACGATATTTATATAGAGGATTATATAAAAATTAAAATAAAAATTACAATAAAAATAAAAACAAAAACTAATTTATAAGCGATATCTCCAGTATAAGTATTAGCCAAACTCTCGCGTTAATAAATGCTTCTGGCTGGTTTTAGAATTCGAAAGATGAATGAGGACTCGTTTCTTCCTCCACTTCAACTAACTAACTATAAAAGCAACAAATATTTACAAATACTACTGGTGATGAATATCTATTTGGTACTACTCGAATAACTGTACGGTCAGTTACAAATTAAATAAAATTAATTTAAAAATATATTAATCAAATTTTTGAAATGAATGCGTAGCTAAATGAACAATAGTGAATTACAACAACAAAATTTTTATAATTCAATTAATTGAATTTATAACTTAGCATACGAAACGGTTTTAAATACTATATTTCCAAATACTAATCATCAGCACCTAATTGAAACAATTAATGCCAAATATTCATAATCGTTGGTTCTTTAGGAAATGTTTGTTGTATTTATATATTCAATAGTAATTTTTAATATTGTAAGTAATTAAAATTTTAAAATTAAATAGTAGTTCACTACTATTTAAAAACTCAAATTTTATTTGTTAATTATATTTGTTAATTCCCTCTGACCTTACGTTAATCTATCAAATACCAGAAACTAACCTTAGCGCCGGAAGACAGGAGGACAAAATAAAAATGCCAATATAGGTTTATACAATTGTATAAAAAAAAATTCAATTGATTTAAATAAAATTGTTATTGTTGTAGTTCTCTACTTTTTGAAACCTCTCTTTAAATAAATATATTTTTAATGAGTCGTTTTAATAAGTCGTTGGAACACTTGACATTATTATTATTATTTTTGGCACTCTCTCTCAAAAGAATTGTTAGGAGTTAATTGATCGTAAATACGATTGTGATAGTACGAAGATAGATTTCTACCTTCTGAGTTATCTTAAGATTCAAGATCTTACACCAAACCAATAAAAAGTTAGACTCTAAAAGCGATCGAGATGAACGTGGCGAATTTCCAAACTATATGTTATGTTCTCTGATGAGAAAAATTTCATATCATATTTGATCATGATCATATTTATTTAACTGAACGCACTGCCATTCACTGCCATTTGACACTACGAATGGTTACCCGAAGTAATATTCCTTCCTCTCCAATCATTTTCATTAAGCCTAGTGTTGAAGATAATGCGACTTATTTTTGTAAAAATGGAACATGTTATGGAAGTTGCTCTAGAGCCGTGTGCACGCAAACATTTCGGACGCAGATCATGGACGTTCCAAAATGATTCGGCACCATATCATACCTGGCTCGTATGAACCCAGGTTAAAAAATCATGTTCCACATTTTATTTCGTCCACACAATGGCTTTCAAATTCGACAGATGCAAATTCGATGGACTGACTATTCCATCTGCGCCATTTTGGAAAGCAAAGTGAGACCTTAAAATATATGGATGCGCTGAAGAAAGTCATTATTCTAAAATTTTGATTATTTCCACAAATTTTTGTAATTTGAATTAATAAAAAATAATTTCACACAAAAAACATATAGTCGTTTGAATAGGTAACACTTCAATTGCCCTGTAACCCTGTATATTGCATAAAACTATCGAATATTGAAAAAATAGACTGAATAGACTAATAAACAAGTCTATGTAACTGTAATATAGATAAATGTATATATATGTATATATGTTTAAATAATTTATTTATTTATTTATTATTTATTTATTTATTTTTTATTTATATTCTTAAGTATCTTATACTAAAAAAAAATATGTAAAACCTTTACCTTTATGCTATTCATTCAAGATATAAATATAATTAAGACAGCTTACAGCTAAATCAATTAAGAGTTTAAGTTTTGTTTAAAATAATATCTAAATTAAATTAATAAGAATAAGAATAAGAAGAAGAATAAAAATAAAAATAAAAGTAATAAAATAATGAATTTTATTGGCATTTGTTGGCCCGTTTTACAGCAATCGCAATTAGTGCAGCAGGCCCAAGATAGTATGCTGCAGTTTCCGAACGCCAGCAGCGGTGGGAGTCGTCGCACAAACGCTCTACTGGCAATGCCATACTTCCAAGCGCTTCTAAGTAACTTGCAGGTGAGAAATCCTTTCGATTGTTTTTCGCAATATTCTTACGTTTTCGATTGCGAAAGCGAACTTCCTTCACGCTTTTACGTTTAATTATATGTATTAAATTGTTCGTTCATTTGTTTGTTTGTTCGTTCGTTCGTTCGTTCATTTGTTTGTTTGTTTGTTTGTTTGTTAGTTTGTTTGTTAGTTTGTTCGTTGGTTCGTTTGTTTGCTGTTGTTGTTGTTGTTATTGTTATTTTAATTATATTCGTTATTTAATTTCCACCACACGAAATGTTTTCTTTCACTTCAATTTTCGTGCTGTTCATTTTTAAAATAAACATAAGCAGAATACATCCGCATTAAAAATTCACAGTTACTTGCACTCATACAAACAGAGGAAACAAAATAATTTGGACTGATTTTATTTACTTAATTTAAATTGAAAAATAAAGGACGAGCTTCTGGTTTTTTTTTTTTTTGGTACTTGGTATTTGGTATTTTTTTTATTTTTTTTTTTTTATTATATTAACCAAAATAATCCATTCAACACTGAGACACTGGAATACATTTTTCGCATATGTTTGTGTTTATTAAAATAAAATTTTAATTTCAATTCCTTTTTTGTTTTTTCATTTACTAAATGAAAATAAAATACATGAAGCCACTGTTTCATTGCCATTTTGCCATAAGCTTGTGCAATGTCGTAAAAATAAATTTGTTTAATTAACTTAATTAAAAGCCATATACGATAAAGTGAAGTTAGAGTGCTAAAAAAAGGTCTTTGAGATACTCAAGATAACACACTTTGGGTTGACAATTTTCGTTAAGTGCAGCAAATAAAAACAAATAATTTGAATAATTTTTATGAAAAATGAAACTATAAAAAATTTAATTATAATTACACACTTCATAATGTACACCTGATTATAATAAATAAGACCATATGTTAATTGGATACAGCATAAAGTTCTGAATATAATAAAAACTGGCAACAGATATGTAGAGCAAGTTTTCAATAGAATATGACATCATGTCATGTTATTTTTAATAAAATCCGGCAAGTATTATCTTTGAATATAGTTTCAACTCTAGAAACTGTCAATAGACATGTTCAATAAGGTTACAATAAAAACTGATACAGAGTAGCTATAAATGAAATCAGACAGTTATTACCTCCAAAATAGTAATCGTGCTAGATTTCAATGATCTTATTTTTATATTAAATATTTCATCGTCATACGTTGGACGTTTATACTAAGATAAACTCTTCAAATTTGTCCATGCGCTACTAACTTATAAGGTGATTATCACTAAATGTGGTACCAGCTCTAGAAACTGTCAATAGACATGTTCAACAAGGTTACAATAAAAACTGATACAGAGTAGTTATTAATGCAATCAGAAAGTCATTACCTCCAAAAACAGTAATCGTGCTAGAATCCTGTTTTTGCTCCTGTTTTTAAATTAAGTATTTAATCATCATATGTTTGACTTTTATATTGACATAAGCTCTTCAAGTTAGTATATGACATATCAAGGTAGGGTTCTCGGTTCTTGAAATATATGCCTCATATTCAACAGAGATTTCTACATATAATCACCTAGTTAATTGTGTTTCTGCACTTACTGCCGATACACAGCAATTTTATGGTCTTACAAAAATATTTCAAAAACATCGATATAGGGTTATCTATTTTGTGTTTTCAAAAGAAAAAATAAATTAATGTTAAGATTTTGATTAAACTTTTATTTCCGGTTTATTGGTGTGAAATATAGCATATATTTGCAAATAGTTTATGTTAGGTTAGATTGAAGTGGCGGCCTTGTGTACCAAGAAAGCTCAAATATTGGCCCGTTGTGTTACCAAATACTTATAAATAGATTAGTAAAAATTACAATATATATAAAAAACAATTTCAATCAATTTAATTAGAGTTATTTGATTCTGATATATATAAAAATTTTAATACAAAATATTTAAATTATTAAAATTGTTCTAATATCTTGCAAAATAATAAATAATCTAAACTGCAAATATTACTAGCCACATATATTAAAATGATTTCTATTTTTGTTTTTCCATGTCTTAATAGTTTTGAAATAGTAGGAGATTTCTTTACCTATTAGAGTATTATCACAAAATACTATATCCCATCAAATATTTGTATAGTTGCCTTAATTTTTTGTGATATTCAATGAAAATTTAATGGATCAATTGCAATAAATATTCTGATACATGTTTATCAAACTCATTAACACAAAATGTTATTTTAAATTAATTTACATACTTTATTGTTTTAAATTAAATACAAATGAATCAATTAAAACATCATTTGCACGACGATTTCAAAAACTTCTTCATCAATTTATGTATTGTAAATATGAAAATATGCATTCTTTTGTATCTCTTTTTATAAATTTTACCTTTTATTATGATATACAAAACGTTGTCTTAAAAGTGTGAATATTACTTTGAACAATTAAATATATAATATATACTTTCTCATAAGTTTCTTAATATTCAAAAGATTATTTAAAAATTGATTTTAATCTATAAATGAAGTTTATTTTAGTTTTAGTGTACTTTTCGCATGCTTAAAACTTTTTATCATTAAATATTTTCTAATTAAGTTATTTTTTTCAGGGTCAGCTTTAAGTTAATTTAATTTTTTAAATATTTAATATAATAAAATATATCCGTTCCTTGTACTTTCCACAGCGCACGAAAAATATAACAAAAAATACAAAGTCGTATTAATGAAAATGAGATAACGATGTACTTAACAGATATAATTATAAAAAAAACTAAATCGTTCGAAAAACAAAATAAAATAATTTAAGAACAAATGTTATTTGTTAATAACATAAATACTGCTATATTAATATAAACTATAATACAATTACATTTTTTTTTTTAAATTAAAATAAATTGTATTTATTGCTTTGGTTCTTGGTGCTATACGCTATGCTGCGTTTCATCACTAATTTTTACTAAATAAAATAACTTTCTGTGGCACCACCAATTTTCGGTTTTACTACCGATACGAGTATATTAGGTAAGATGCCTACAGATACAATATTAATATTAAAAAGGTAGACGTACCATTTATGATATGATTTACTCAATAACAATGGGACATAAATTTCTTATAATTGGTTGTTAAAACTAATAATTAGAAAATAGTATAAAATAGCTTAAAAAATATTATTCTTTCATTCTCTGCAATGTCCTTTTAGTGACTATACAATTCGAATACAGTCCTCTAAAGTCCTCTAAACAAATTACCAAAATGAAACCCATCTGTAGTAAATATGAAAATATGTAACCACACAATAATATTTTAATTTAAAAAATAACAATTTATAATTTAATGTTAATTTTTTTTTGTCAAAAGTGATGTGCTTATAACGAAAAAAAACTATTAAGAAAAGTTCGAATAGAAATGTAAAGACAACAACAAAAATTTTAGTTAATTTATTGAAATTTGGGTGATTTGGCTACGATCGTAGGTTGTTTTATGTTAATTTTTAACAACAGGCAATTAGCCTCAGCAATCAGGTCAAGGACTACATGGCCAATCTATTCCGAATGTAGAGCCTCTGACTTATTACACAGAAGCAAATTCGAGGTATCTAGGTTAATATCTGCCTTTAGAGGGCAGTGGACCTTCGGACGGCATGGAACCAGCTAACGAAGAAAGAACACCAGAACATCTGCTGTGTTTATGTCCAGACTTCGCCAGAAGTCTCAAGTTTGTGAGAGCCCCCTTCTTCAACACACTCAGCAGTATCTCTAGCTTTACCATTGGCCAGGTTCTTGACTTTATAAATACTTCTGACTGGTTCTAGCTTGATCTTCTGTTTACTACCCATTATTATGAGGATTTGTGAATTCATAATGGCTATCTTAGCTAATTGAGTAGTATTCGGTACTACCTCTACCACAACTAAATAACTAACTTTTCTTCACTTCAACAATTTCATGTACTAAAAGAATGATACCCCTTTTCCGCTTTATACGTTAGAAATCGTTTTAATTTATTTACTATAGAGATACGTAAATAATACTCTCTGAATAACTGAGATATTCGTAATCCACAAAATCTTGTAGTGTTATAAGCAACTAGATAGCTCCTTTTCAAGAAGGTTCGTTTGCTATCACAAATGTGATAACTCCAACGTGATGTAAAACTTTAAAAGATTCATACCTGATTATTTTGCGTAAAAATATTGACTTGAACATTAGCTTTGTTGAGTTGTAATCTGAGAGACGTACTACAATTGCTGCCTGGCTCTCATTGAGGACAAGTTTTCTTGTATCTTTATAGTCACATTCAAAATTACAAGAATCACACCTCTCTGTCCAGATTATTTCTGCTTGATAATTGTTTGTATTTTTACCAGCGTTCATCAGTGTATTAACTCTGAATAAATACACATTCCCTGATTTCGTCTTCGGAAAGGGAAACATCCGTACATCATATTAATATTACTCTGTAAGCCAGGGACACGCCATCTCTACATGAATTCGGTCTTAACAACAAAAATCTCACAGTTTGTAGTTCTGGAAAATAGTTTTTACTATAAAAACCCTAAAATATATTTCAATAACGAAATCACTCATAATTTTACACTTATTACACTAATGAATTCCTTGTAGTGTAGTAAAGATAAAAGGACAATACACTAAAATTCCGAACCTGCTTCCATCATGTCTAAGAAATACCAGCTCAGTTTTATTATCTGCATAGAAATTTTTCTTTTAATTGATTTTTCTGTTATTTTTCTATAAGCTTTGTTTCCTATTTCCTTTTAATTTTTTATCTTAAAACTATTTTATTTATTTTTTTTTTTTGTTTATTAGAATGTAGTTTGCAGTAAGCAGTTTTGTTATGGCTTGTGTCATTATTGTCAATTTTTTTATTTTTAATAAATTCATTTTTTTTTATTTTTTAATTTAATTTTAAAACTAAGAAAACTTTTTCATTTCATTATATTTGATGTACTTTACTTTATAGGTACAT